TACATCCTTTATATATAAAAACTAATATACCACACATAATTAATAAATAAATAAATACATATATACACACACACACATTTTTTTTTTTCGGGACAGAGTCTCACTCTATTGTCCAGGCTGGAGTGCAGTGGCACAGTCTTGGCTCACTGCAACCCTCCGCCTCCTGGTTCAAGCGATTCTCCTGCCTCAGCCTCCTGAGTAGCTATAGCTGGGACTACAGGCACGTGCTACATGCGTGGCTAACTTTTGTATTTTTAGTAGAGACAGGGTTTCGCCATGTTGGCCAGGTGTTTCAAACTCCTGGGCTCAAGCGATCCTCCCACCTTGGCCTCCCAAAGTGCTGGGATTACAGGCATAAACCACCGTGCCTGGCCCCACAATTCTTAACATGATTTAAATATATGTTTTTTATATATATGTATATATATAGAGAGAGAGAGAGAGTGTGTCAATTTTTTTTGCCACTATTTCTACTTTAAGTAAAATGTACGGGTAATTTGGGCAAGCCAAAAAGGAAATTGATTTGATGTTAACTATCACTTAAATAGCTAGTATATACCCCAAAGCTACCTTTTCTTGGAAAAGAAAATTTAACAAAAATAGAAAATCCAAGTTTATAGAGAATAATAATGATGCAGGTGTACCTAAAAGAAGAGCCTTAAAATCTTGAAAGTAAATAAAATCTAGTGGTGTAAATTTTCTTTTCTTATGCTTGAGTAATGAGTAAAACCTTTTTAATGCCTTAATTTTTTTGTTAAATTTGCTCTAGGTCACTTGTGGAATGATTTTTTATCTCCATTTTCCGCTTAGTTTTTTTTCACATTAAGTAGCACTTTAATTCACTTAGCATCCAAATGGAAAGTATTATGAATTACCTATGAATTATCTATGGTTTTACCTAATTGTAGGTAATTTAGTCTTTTATTGAATTGTCTTTCAAGATTTCAATCAATAAGGTTAAATTTTTTTCTTTTCTTTTAAGGGTACAGTTGGACAATGGTGAAAGAGATGGAATATATATGTAATGAACTAAGTCAGCCTGTAACGTTCCCTGTCAGAGCAGCATTAGTCAGGCAGTCTTGTTCTCAGTTACTTTGGCTGTTAAAGCAATCAAGCAGGTATGTAATAGTTTAACAAATGTGTATGTGAGTGTGTATGAGAGACAGAGATAGAAAGAGCATGAAAATTGATTATTTAAGGGCAGTGTGTATGAGAGAAAGGTAGATGGAAAAAATGAAAACTGATGATATAAGCACACAGACTCTCTCACCAGATTGGAGCTCCTTGATGAACCTTAACTCACTTAACATCATACATTTTACCCCTATTCCTCACAAAAGTTTTTGTACATAGTAGGTGCTCAGTAAGTGTTAGCTGTCTTTTTCATTATGTTATACATTCACAAAAAGTGATGAATGGATAAATTAGCTTCTTTTTAAATTTCGTCATAATTTCAGAAATCAGCCAGATGTGGTGGCTCACACCTGTAATCCCAGCACTTTGGGAGGCTGAGGCAGGAGGATCTCTTGAGCCCAGGAGTTTGAGATGAACCTGGGCAATTTAGTGAGAACTTGTCTTTACAAAAAAATTAAAAATTAGCCGAGCAAGGTGGCATGCGCCTGTAGTCTCAGCTATTCGGGAAGCTAAGGTGGGAGCATCACTTGAACCCGGGAGGTAGAGGCTTCAGTGAGCCAAGATCATACAAGTGTACTCCAGCCTAGGTGACAGAGCAAGACCCTGGCTCAAAAATAATAATACTTTCAGAAATCTTTTTTATATAAAGGTTTTATTTTAATATGTAATAAAAATTAGTTGGACTACCTATTGAATATTTAAATAGATTATAAAAGTACAGATATTAAAATTTTTATTATTTTGTTTTCTTTTAAGAGGTCAATCAGTAGAACAAAAGAAAAAGTCCAGAATCTGTCATGGAACTTAGCGTAGAAACAAGCTGACTTTTCAGATCTCTGGAGCAAGAAGTTCAACAACTGGTTTTGGGACAACAGGCTATGTAGGAAAAACAATGCTGACACCTTTGCTTATTCCTTGCTCCAAAATACATTCCCAATGAATTAAAGATTTGAACATCAAGCAGTAAATGCATAAAGAATAAACAGGGATGATTCCTTAAATATAGTTTCAGAATGGAGAAGACCTTTAGGCACAAAACCCAGAAACTGTAAAAGGAATTTTGATACATTTGAATCCATAAAAATGGAAAGCAACTACTAAAAAGACCCCCAATGTGTATGTCAGAGAAATGTTAAGAATTCTGACAAATAAAAGATTTTTACAAATTACCCAGAAATAGGCCCAGTTTAATAATTCACTATATTGCAGAGAGTAGTGAAAGCAGACAATCATACATTTTTGGCTGGAGTGTAACCTGATCAGTAATTTCCTTGGAGAGAAATTTGGCATATACTCATGAATCTCACTATTGAGACCATGTCTTACTAATAGAAGTTCACATAAGCACAGAGACATAGGTACAAGGATATTCTGGTAGCATCATTTGTAGTAATAAAAGACTTGAAACATTCTAAGTATCTATCAGTCAGACACTGTTGAATAAATTATGGTACACCCATATGATGGAATATTATATGTTACAGATAATGCAGTAGACCCTATGTTTTAATATGGAATGATCTGTAAGGTATGTCATTAACTGAATAAATTAAGATGCAGAATGATAGGTATAGTATGATTCCATTTCCATGTGGGAAAATTGATGTGTAAAAATATTTATAGATAAATTGAGCTTAGAGTAGTTTGAATCAGTGGCTGCTAGCATTATGCTTAAAGAGAAATATTAGGTGATACCAGACACTATACCAATCAGATTCTTAGTTACAAACAATTATGGGGCAACTCTCATTGTTAAAGTATCCCTGATGCTATTTGACATTCTCTTTTGCAAACACATCATCTGTTTATTAACTCTGCCTCTAGTTTTGTTTGTTTTCATTAGTGTCAGAGAAGTGCACTGAAATCAAATAACATACTGTATTAATTTTTTAAAGATTATTGTTGAAATTAAAGCATTACATTTAATTAAAATTTTCAATTCTCATGGAAAACGCTAGAATTTTTTAGAATATATCTTCTTACCCTCATTTGAGAAACATTTACAATATAGATGGACTCTGTTTTCTTGGAGACCTAATACTCAGATAATCATGTGCACAAGTACCATAAGACTATGGCCACATTTATGAGAGAATTCAGCCCAGCCTATATTCCATTTGGGTATATTTTGTTTCATTTTTAATGATGTCACATTGATTTTCACATAGTCATGTGTGTGATAAGAGCACCTAAAATCTATTCTCTTAGCAAATTTTTCAAATACAATAGTGTTAACTATAGTCCTCATACTGTCCATTAGATCTCTAGACTTATTATCCTGTGTAACTGCAAGTTCATCTACTCGTTATCTTTTAAAGATACCTATTTACTCTCATTTTACTGGTTTTGAGAATCGTATTCATCCTCCAAAGTTCTGGAGTCTGCTTGTTTTTCTAATTATTCCATAGAAAAAAACTACAGAACATTATCATTAGTTCTACAGACTTAGAGGTTCTTATATTGTTTGAGATTGGAAGGAAAAGTACATTTATTTTTTAAAAACTTAGCACTGAAGTATTTATGTAGACTGTACTTTTTATGGTAAAAGCAATGTAGGCCGATAACAGTGTTTCAGATAACAAAATCTGGATAATACAGTTCTACTTTAAAAGACTGAAGGTTAGAATTGCCTTTATGGTGGACTCAGGTGTTTTAATTTTGTTGCTAATAATTTTCTTATCTAATGTTTGTGAGATTACATGAAGACAGCAACCTTGCTTATCTTGATCATCCACAATTCAGAATTTAAAACAATGCCCAGCACATCATAGGAATTTAATAAATAGTTATTAAATGGAAAAACCAAATGCATACAGGCACTGATTCATCATAGAGGGCATTAGAAGCCTGTACTTTCTGGAGAAGTAGTTTTGGTGTTTAAATACAAAAATAGCTATAAAAGACAGCATTAAGCAAAGAGGCTTAGAGGTTATTTTTGTTACTGTGGTGTCAAGTACCGCCTCAATCACCTTATGATGTGCGCTAATGCAATTAGTAATACGAATAATATATTACAAAGAGGAGTAGCTTCTAGAGAAAGACTGCTTCTAAAAAGACAGCAATATTCCACCTTTAAACAAGAACCTCATTTTGAGTCAAGCAATTGTGCATGAATGAATCTTGCAATGTCAAGAGAGCTATTTGAAATAAAACACTATCACATTATTTCTGTATCAGGGAACTCAGTGAATGATGAACTGCCAATCCCTTTTTGCTTCTCATTTAAGTAGTTGGTGAATCCACTCTGCCATCACACCCATGAACCATGGCGAAGTTTCAGTTTTTGACAGCATACCTGTTCAAAGAACAGGCTAAGTGTTTTTATTATAGAAATTTCAAAATACAGTAACTAAAACAGGAGAGAAGTTTATATTCCTCTCTCCAAACAGTCCAGACTCAGGAAGGTCTCAGGAGAGTAGAGGCTCTTCTCCAACAGTCATCTAGAGCATAGGTTCATTCTGTCTTGTTCCTCTGCTAACCCTGGGAGTGTCAACATGCACATAAGTAGAAGCTGACATACACCATCACATTCCCGTTCCAGCCCACAAATGTTGAAAGAAAAACAACATACACCAGAGTAACTAAAATAAGCTCTAAGGCTTTTTGCTTAATGCTGCCTTTTATAACTATTTTTGTCTTTAAACACCAAAACTACTTCTCCAGAAAGTACAGACTTCTAATGCCCTCTATGATGAAACAGTGCCTGTATGCATAAATATATATATATATATGAAGGCATATACTAGGTGTATTTAGATGACCTGTATATACTAGGAGTATTTATATTTTTATACTAGGGGTGTGTGTGTGTATATATATAATGCATATACATATATATGAAGACTATAGATTCTGTATACAGTCATCTGTCAGTATATGTGGAGGATTGGTTCAAGGATGCTCAGCATATACCAAAATCGGCTCATTCTGAAGTTCCCAAGCTGTTCCTGTGGGACTTGAGTACACAGAAAGTCAACCTCCTTATACCCACATTTCAAATCCTGTAAATACTCCATGTCCATTCTCATTTGGTTGAAAAAATCAGTATATCAATGGACTCACTCAGTTCTAAACTGTGTTGTTCAAGAGTCAACTATACTGATACAGATATTGTGTCCAAATCTATATCCTAAATTATCTTAGCATTTTAAAAAATAGTCTTTCAGGGCCAGGTACAGTGTCTCACACCTGTAATCCTAGTACTTTGGGAAGCCAAGGTGGGCGGATCACCTGAGGTCATGAGTTCAAGACCAGCTTGGCCAAATGGTGAAACTCCATCTTTACTAAAACAAAAAAAAAAAAAAAAATTAGCCATGCATGATGGCAGGTGCCTGTAATTCCAGCTACTTGGGAGGCTGAGATGGGGAATCGCTTGAACTCGGGAGACAGTGGTTGCAGTGAGCCGAGATCTCACCACTGCACTCCAGCCTGTGCAGCTGAACAGGTCTCTGTCTAAAAATATATATATATAGTCTTTCAATTGATTTTCTTGAGTTTTCTAAGCAAAAAAATTTATTCTCTTCAAATAATGTTAACTTTTTTCAACTTTTGTATCTCTAATTTCTTTTTTATGATGGTTAATACCTCTAGAGTAGTGATTCTCAATGTATTATCAGTAGTGGTGATTTGGCTCTCCAGCAGACAATGCCTGAGGACATTTTTGGTTGCCACACCAAAAGATGAGAGGTGGGGGGCAGGGATTCTATTGAACAACTAGTGGTAAAGGCCAGGGATTCCACTTTAGACATCCTACATGGCACAGGACAGCTCCCACAGTAAAGAATTATCTAACTGAAATGTCAGTAGTCAACATTGAGAACTCTAGAACAGTGTTACATAATATTGCTAATAGTGCCCAAACATCTTATTCTTACCTTTAAAAACAGCTTAGTATTCTGCAAAGATACTACAGAAGTACAGTCATGTATCGCTTTAAGATGGTGATACCTTCTGAGAAATTTTTCATTAGGTTATCTGGGCACAG